TGACCTCTCGTGCTGGGTGGGTTTTAACGTAACTAGTTACCAAAAATCTGTAATGTGAGCACAAACACTATGAAAATCCTCCTGTGTTTCTCTGTAAGTGATTCAATAAAACCAAATGAAAACAGATTCAGTGACTTAGCTGACTCTTACACTCAGATAATAAATAATATACATGTAGGTTAAGGACCATCTGCTCTTATCAACAAATCAGTTGCCTGCTCACTTTTGTCACCACAGGTACCAAAGCTTTCCCTCTGCTGCGGACAAGCCAACATGTGGAAATATTCAACACAAACATCAAACTGAGCTGGCAGGATGGAGGCAGGCCGATTTAATCTCAAAGCAAAGATTAAGTATTCATGACTGGATGATCTTCTGAGCACAGCTGTCCAGGCTCGTGGCATCAGGTTGTTTGATTCAAGGAGATTTATGGATAAACTCATTCGAACCCAAACATGGACAAAGTCAGTGAAAAAAGAGGACAAAAAACAAAGCAGAGAAGAATTTGTCTCTAATAAAGCTGCTGTTTTTATAAGACATGTACACACACACACACACACACACACACACACACACACACACACACAGATAAGTGCACAGTCCGATCATAGGTTGACCAACACAGCGGTGGAATCTCAATCCACCAAGGACAGATTACAGCTATAAAAATAACAAAATGCTCTTGTTCTCTTGGCCATCGAGTTAAGCTTTTAAAAACACTGTAAAAATGATGATCTCTGTGAGCTGAAACGCGCTGATCCCTCCACAATGTAGGATTACTGCACGCGCATGCATGTGTATATGAGCGTACACATGCCTAATTAGTCAATTTTTTTATCATCAGGAGGAGGTCAATTATTACTTTGAGTATTTAAAGTCTTAAATCAGTCAATTATTTTACGTCTTGTGTGCAAAGTGCAGTGAAGTTACTTTTCTACTTGAGTAAAAATAAGTAGGTACTAGAAGTACTTGCCAAGTCTATCCTACTCCCTCATGCAAAAGGCACTGCATCATAATGGCTGAGTCTTGGAACTGGCCTCTTCAGAATCCATTTCTGGTGTTTCTTCACTGAGGGTCTAATATTACCTGCCTGCTGTGATTGGATCAGTGAACCAATTTCCCTCTTGTTATTAGTAAGTTGACTGAATAACACAATGTTTGTAAAAAATTAAGTGGAACAGAAAGTACAAATATTTGCTGATATATGTAGATGTAGTGGAGTAAAACTGAGTTAGTGTAGATACATGACATACTTAAGTCCAGTTACAAAGCAAATGTGCAGTGTAGCAGATAAAGTCACTACCTTCACATCCTGCAGCAGCACTGGATTTCCTGGCCCACTTAAACTGCGTCCTGGTGTCCTGGTTGTTTTCATCAGTCAACAGTTTCTCCCGGCTGATGTCTGAAATCTTGCACACAAGACAGACACGAGTAAGTGACTGAAGTTTAAAAGCAAAATTATTTGAGGATGAAATGTTCAGATTCTGGAAGACGGTCACCTCTAACCTCTCCAGGGTGTTTGAGATCAAGCTTTCTGACTCGCCTGTTACACTTACTCTGAAAGACTGGGCCTTGCTTCAACTAAAACACAACCACTATTAGCCAGGCTTACAGCAGACAAAGAAATCTTGTCACATTGTGATGGAAGCCTCACAACTTTAGGTTCTGATGGATCTTGAAATTGTATATTTAGATTTGTCGACTGCTAGAAAACATGAAGGAAGTCAGTTATAAAGGTTTTGTACTCACCCTCAAAAACCTTTTACAATGATATACTGAAAACAGGGAGTGGGTGGGTCTGTGTTTTTCGTGTGCATGTGTTTTTCAATATAATAAACTTTACATACTTTAGGTCAGCATTTAATTCTTGCTCTTTATGCATTTTAATGTGCATGATGGGTGATGGATGATTAGTGGTCAGACACTAACAGAGCAGAAAAAGTGATAGAGCTAATTATACCACTCCTTCACTCTGTTTCACCTCCCTCTTTCTCCACCCTTCTCTTTTTCCTATTATTCTTCAGTCCGAGTAGTTTCTTATCTTATCTGAGGAATTTCTCTGACAGGACAAAAGTGATTGGGAGACAGCACAACATCCAATAGGTTCAAAGAAGACAAAAAATAAAAAGAATAAATGGTCAATGTTACATTAAAGGTGACTTCTAATGTATAAAACATGAAAACCCAAAAGGTCAGGGGATGTATGGAAGAAAGGTTTTTCAGCTCTATTCTCATGGATTTGCACTGAAAACTTGAAAAAGTAGAGTACTGCCTTTCATAACTAATTATTTATTATTTGTGTATTTCTTATTGTTAAGTTTATTCTAAAATGCTCTAGTTCATACAATCACAATTAATCATGTTAATATTGCATTAAAATTGATAACATTTTACACTACACACAGAGAGAATAGTTTTACAAACAAATGGTTTTAAAAAGCTGACAACAAACAGTCAGCCTACAATAGCCCATTAGACTCTAAGTGACATTACCCACAGTGTTTGTGGAGCCACATGATAAGTTTGTTATAACCATTTGAACAATGTTGAATACATTGACCAGACACTCACTTTATCAACCCTGTATCCCAGAAGCTGTTCAGTCCTGCCTTGCATTTTGGCCAATGTCTTCATCTCTTGATTTTTTTTTCTGCTCCTTTTGATTTTGTCCTGATGTGGCGTCCTGTTTCTTCACCTTAAGGTTTTAAAATCTGCCTCATTCTTCTCTCTTCATTAAAGCATCCATGCCTAATCCTATAGTCCTATGGTAATATATAGGATTTAAAAAAGGCAAAAGTGGAAAGGACTTCAGAGAACTAACAACTCTGCTATCCTGCTGACTGTCCAACTGAAGCACAAAAAGAGACACATTTTCACTTCTTCACCAGATCCTTTTCTCCTCTGGGCAGATGAGGACAGCTGGTCAATTGCAGGGTCATCTGTCCTCAGGCCTCTCTGAAAAAAGGCTATGTGAGGGACAGGTCCGGTCACGTCCCATAGACTCATTTCACTCTGTGTCCAGTCCCAAAGTAGGAGCTTCAAGTAACTTCTTATAATAGAGCAGACCCTTTTATACCACCTAAATCTCTTTCTTTTTGTTGTTATGTATTTTAAAAATGAGAACCTTTCTTTCGGCATCCTTTAATATACGAGATTTATCCTGGACACTTTAAAGAACTAAGATTCAGATTTAAATCATATTAATATAGTTTGTAAATTTGTGATACTACGACACATATAACCACTCATCAGTTTTACCCTAATGGGACGGCATTATAAAAACTGAAGTCTTAGATCAGAGCATGTGAACAGAGAGAGATCCCCATCCTGTGGAAAATCTGAGAAGTACCATCACAGCCTGAACTGCCGCTGTTCTTCTGCAAAGAAGTTTGGTTGCTGTTGCTCTGATTTAACTGAATTGGAATGGATTGAATTGGTACCTGTATCTGTTCAGAGCACCTTAGTCACCCCTGATGGGATTTGACTGCTTGTCAGTCTTAACAATTAATTAGATTCTTCTGGCTTAAGCAGTTTACGGTGAACATTTTAAACAAATACAAAATACTGTATGCTTTACCGAAATAAATATTATTTCAAATTTGACAGAAGACCGGGTGTGGTTGTTGATTTGTGATTGTTATTACCCCCTTGTGCAATTATCCTGTCAGACAGATGTACCTATGAGACATTATCTTAAAGTTAAAACATGGGGAATCTACATGACAGTGGAGAAATAGCGAACTTGGAGAAATTATCTTTAGTTCGGCCAAGTAAAAGACAGATAAAAATACCAGGTAGTGTGGGAATCACTGGTGTTGTGCTGAAAGATGAACGTGGCCAGAGTAGAAAGTAATCCTCTCTATAAAGCTGTTGTAAGTGGGATGAGCTCAGCGCAGGAGCTGGACACACAAAAGTCTCTGCGAAGACTCCGCAAAGACTCCTCCTCTCAGTTTTATGTCATCACGACAATATGAGGGGTGGAAATGGGTAAAGTATCAGGAGGAAGAGAAGTGTGACCTCTCCGCTGCTCTAAAAACGTAAAGTGGGTCTATTAGAGGAAGTCAGAACGACAACAGGTCTGCAACCAGTCAGAGCGCTGTGAGAGAAGCAAACTAACATGTGGATACATCTACATCTGAGTTATTACTCTTTATGGTAAGTTTATGTTCTATATATATCTGAATTTTATATATCAGTGCCAGTTTGGTTGCAGAGGATTGTTGGAGATGGAGGATGAGAAATGCTGCATTTCTGACTTTGCATTTAAATATCTTTTATTTCATGGAACTGAGCAGACCTGTGGCATCAATGATTTTACATGTCTGTACTTAAACTTTCTTAAAGGTTTATCATAAGATGTTTTCCAGTTTTCTTGTACAAATATTTGTGAAAACATTTGGAAAACCTCTGTCTGTGATTTTTACTTCACAGATACGAAATATTCTTAAATCACAATTCGGCTCCATTGATTTCACAGTTTCAGAACCACTCATCGGTCACTTTTCAGGTCCTTTGGTGAGAAAGCCAAATAGAGTCAAACCATGAGTTTACCAGGACCACATGTGACTGAGGTTATTCTGAGGTGGGTTGTTCCTCATTTAGATACTGATCCAGTTACTCAACACACAAGGCACGTTGAGCTCATACAGCTCCACTTAATCCTCATCTGACAAACTCATCCTTGTCAATGTGTCAAAAAGATTACTTTTGATGTATTGGTGTGGCAGATCTGAGGCACATACAGTACATGTTGTGATTCACCAGTAACTTGTTGCCTACACTGAGCAGATTATTTCAACTTGGCATTATGTGTAATAGTGGAGGTCTTCCCAGGGAGGGAAAATTCATCCTCGCTGGGTCTACGTCTCCAAAGTGCACCTGATTGCTCCTTTTGTTGCTATAAACAACATCCAGTGTAGTTTCTGCGACACTGGTTTCTATTTTCATTGTAGATGTAGCCAAAGGACATAGCACCGTCTCACCTGTTCTGCCGTTGGAGGATGGCGACTGCAGCGAAGGATCCACACCTGGGCTCAGGCCCTGATGAGGACGCAATGTCTCTGTCAGGGAGCGAGTCCGACTCAGACAGCATCCTCTCCGATGACTCTGTGCTTCCTGACTACTCGCCAGAGGTAACGAATAGACATGCGGTGTCGACTCTGTATCAAGCATGCGCCCGTAATGAGCCTGTATCTCTGCGGCGAGTTCTGGAGAGAGGGGTCACAAAAGAGGAGGTCATGGAACTGGACATCAACAGTTGGGTGAGAGTCTGAGTCATTCGGAAAAATAATAATCCAGAACTTCTAATTAAAATCTTTGACATGCTGTGATATCTCAAATCTAATTTCATTGTTATTTATCTTTGTAACAACAGAATGGCTTGATGGTGGCTTGCTGCAAAGGTTTCATAGATATCGTGTATGGGCTTCACAACTGTCCTTATATAGACATTAACCACCAGGACAATGAAGGCAACACTGCACTGATGATCGCATCCCAAGCTGGTGAGTTTTACACACAGGATATGAAGGACATTTACATTTACTTAATGCATAAAACAAGGATTAAGGTGAGGCAGATAGAGCAACTAAAAACATCTGAACTCTAACAATAATGGTAGTTATGATATTTGTGATTATTTTTTGGAACCACTTTTTCAAATGTTACACATTTTCAGATAAACTGCTGATCTAAGCTCTGAACTCTCGTGTCTTCCTCTCCAGGTCATATTAGCACAGTCATGTATCTCCTGAACTACTATGCCGGTATAGACCTGGAAATAAAGGACTGTCGTGGTTTCACAGCCCTCATCAAAGCTGCTATGACCGGACGCAATGATGTCGTGGCTACCCTTGTTATGGCTGGTATGTAAGAGCGGAATACAACAATAGCTACCTACTTTTTTGCAAACACTTCCTGTTTTCAACATTTATTTATTTTCTGTGATACACAACATACACATGTTTTGATTTATAAATTCAGGCAGAGTATATCCTCTCTTGTTTACTGGGCATAAATATTGATTTCTTTCATAATGTGTTATATCTTCTCAAAAAAAAAATTCAGGAGCTTCATAAAAATATATTAATTGTTATGCAAGCAGTTCAGTGACAGTATGTTTCTCAAATGACCCCTAGTGGAGTTTTCTTGCCAGGACTCACAAGAATGCCCAATTTTGACAAACTTTTTATAACAAGTCTTATTCATCCTCCAGTGAAACAGACTTTTGACAGTGTCACACTCAAATCTTCTGTCCTATGATTATTATTAGATCTGTTTATTTTTGAAACCCTGACATTAGCTCATTACCCAGGACTCGTACAGCTCTAAATGAACAGTTACAGCACCAGTAGTGAGAATAGCTGACCCCATGGTTTACCTGTCCATATTTGAAGCTGGCTAACTCCGTTTTCGAGTCAACGTGCCAATGACGCCAGACTGGTTTAAGGGATCATTCTGAGGACATTACCACATCTTAACACACCCTGCAGTAATCTCTGTCGTACAAGTCCTGAAGGCTGGTTGGAGATAAGCCACCTGCAGAGATATGTTTAGACGACACACGTTTTCCTAAAATCTCTGCGTCATTATTTATTGTTTGCATTATCATTGGAGAAGTAAGTAAGACAGTAAGAAAAATCTAGAACTTCAGATTAGATATCTCTGACTAATCTCTTCAGCCATCAGTCTCTCTCTCTAAAACTAAAAATAAACTAAAAGGGTGGTGATTTCTAGATTCACAATGAGCCCTTGGTCACTTTGCTTCTCTACTCTACCATCTTTCTTTCCAGGAGCTGACATTCACGCAGTTGACTCCACTAAAGGAAGATGTGCTCGGGACTGGGCACTGAAAACAGGCCGCTATGAGACCTTGCATCGCCTCCGTCGACTGAACATTCGGCCAAAAGCTGAGCAGTTCTGTGAGACTTATGTCCCTGAATGGCCTGAGCTCAAGGAGAAGGTAGCCAAAGCCACAAGTGAGAAAAGCGCCACTGAAAAAATTTCCCAGCGGTTAAAAAACACATTTGGGTTCAGACTTCCTCGTGACCCAGAGGACAACGGGGTCTTGGACCACATGGTGCGCATGACAACCAGTGTTCATAGTCCCCTAATTTCAACTGGATGCCGCCCACTCTGCCCCAAGAGCCCTCCAGAGGTGGGGAGGAGGCGGCTGGCTGTGCCAGAGCTGGTGGGGAAACACTCAGACAAGAAGCTAGAAGAGGGGTCGGTGTGCCACAGCAACGGCTCTGTGTCACACATCATTCCCACAATCCACTCTGCAGAGTCCATCTCCACAACATGCTGTGCCGACACTATGCGGCGAGGCAGCATCCTATCACTGGCCTCCAACAAAGTTGCAACTTCATTTATTCCTCGCAGCATGGCGAGACGGAACAGCGTGTTTCCCTCCGGCTGCATTCCCAAGATCAACGTCAGCAGGCCGATTGAGGCAACGCCAAAGAAAGAGAAGAAGAAGAAGAAGAAGAAGGACAGGCACTTCCTGGAACCACCTGTGTGGAAGTACAAGGAGATCAAGGAGGAGAGAAAGAAAGAGAAAAAGAAGATTGAGGAGGAGAAAGAGAAGCAAGAGAAAGAAAAGAAGGCCAAAAAGGACAGCAAGAAGACCAAAAAATAGGGGTTTCAGGAATAAGGGCTTTCCTGCTCCTGCAATTACCTATTAATGCTTTTTAAAATGTGTTCAACTCAGGACTTAAAACCCAAACCAAATATATTGGAAACTATCAGTGAACATTGAACCCACAAAGAGGAACACTGACTGATGGAGGTCTCAAGTGAGAACTGCAAAGACTCTTAAGCAGTTTGAGGCTTTCAGTTTAAAGGTTGAGACAAATAATATATTAATAAACATATATATTTTGAAATAGAATAGAAAATAAAGTTTATTTTTACATAAATATATTTGGTATATATATTTGATGATATAATCTAAAATGATTATGATATAATACATGAAACCCATGTTCACTGATTGATTCAGTCTCACAAGTGCTAAAGCTTTCATAGTATCTACCTCATCATTCACATAAAACACAGATAGACAGATACTCTATATAAACCTGTGCAATCATTCCCCTATGCAACATGCAAATAAAGAAATATACACCTGTGTCATAGCTTATTTATATTAGCTCATGTTTTGTTTTCTGTTGCATTTGTTGTAAGTTGTCATTTGTAAATTGTCAGCAAAATTCAATTGTCACTACTGTACAGCCTGTAGCTAACGTGCATCAGCATGGAGGATCAGTTCAATCTTTTTCAAGCTCTATCACATTTTATGCCATTTTCTGATATTGCCAATACAAAATTCACATGATTTCTCCTGCTAATTTACTCTGAGTGCATGGACTCAGTATGAAATGACGACTTAATAAAGGACAGTGAAAAGTTATCAATTAATTTGTGTTTGAAGCCGAATGGATCAATAATTTTATCTTAGCAATACGATAGACTCAATGATATGATAAACTCACCATCCTATTCTACAGGCTCCATCAGCTGGATGGTATTTAAGTCTGTTTTTGCCTCCAGCTACAAATACAATAATCTTGTACAGCAGTGATTCAAGTATATGATTATTTAAAGAATGAAGGCTGATGTGCTGATGAACTGCGTTATGTTGACGAGTGCTCCTATTCTTTTTCAATTTCAATCAATGAGGATGAACAGCAGACACACCTCTCTGAAAGATGTCATCCAGTTTAACACAAACTGAACATCATCACCTTCAGGAAGTGGGGATTTGTTGCAGGGCCGTTGCTTTAGACTGCATTCGTTTTAGCTTGGTGTTCCAAATGATTATATAATCAGAACAAAAACAATGACAGCAGCTTCAAGGTTGATGCTGATGGCTGTCAAAACGAATCAGACCACAATTTAAGTCTCCAGGGAGAATGTGTGGGTAGATGGAGGGGACGAGGGAGAGATGAACTGACAAATTCATAAGAAACTTACAGAAGCAGCCTTTTCCCCACTTCTACTGGCAAAGTAAGTAAGTCTGTGTGGGCACATGTCTATCTGTAGTTATGAGGGCCAATCTTGGCTCAATACCCTCATTGTGAGGACATTTTGAAGTTGTGAGGACATTTTGGCTGGTCCTCACAAATTCAATGGGCTGTATGAGGGTGAAGACTCGATTTTAGGGTTAGGTTAAGGTTAAGGTTAAGGTTAAAGTTAAGTTAAGGTTAGGTTAAGGTTAAGGTTAAGTTAAGGTTAGGTTAAGTTAAGGTTAAGGTTAAGGTTAGGTTCGGTTCGGTTAAGGTTCGGTTAGGTTAAGTAAGGTAAGGTTAGGTTAGGTTAGGTTAGGTTAGGTTAAGGTTAAGGTTAGGTTAAGGTTAAGGTTAGGTTAAGGTTAGGTTAAGGTTAAGGTTAAGGTTAAGGTTAAGGTTAAGGTTAGGTTAGGTTAGGTTAGGTTAAGGTTAAGGTTAGGTTAGGTTTGGTTAAGGTTTGGTTAAGGTTAGGTTAGGTTAAGGTTAAGGTTAGGTTTGGTTATGTTAGGTTCGGTTAAGGTTAGGTTAAGGTTAGGATAGGTTAGGTTCGGTTAAGGTTAGGTTAGGTTCGGTTAAGGTTAGGTTAAGGTTAGGATAGNTAGGTTAGGTTCGGTTAAGGTTAGGTTAAGGTTAGGATAGGTTAGGTTTGGTTAAGGTTAGGTTAAGTTAAGGTTAGGTTAGGTTAGGTTAGGTTAGGTTAGGTTCAGTTAAGGTTCGGTTAAGGTTAGGTTAGGTTCGGTTTGGTTAAGGTTAAGTTAGGTTAGGTTAGGTCAGGTTAAGGTTAGGTGAGGTTAAGGGTAATACATTGTGCCAATTCCAAAGAATGTCCTCACAACTATCCAGAGACCTACGTGAGCGCGCTTGTGTGTGTGTGTGTGTGTGTGTGTGTGTGTGTGTGTGTGTGTGTGTGTGTGTGCTGCAGCCTGCTGGTGGAGCATGTTAGTAAACCTGGGTGAGCTCGCTGTCACCGTCTCGCCACATCTAACGTCAGCAAACCAAACGTGTCAATGCGATGAGCCGTGAATTCATTGACCATGGCTAACTTACGGATGTGGTTAGCCGTCGCTGTGGTGCAGCTGCTCCTGTACAGAAGCTCGGAGGGTGAGTGGCTCATTCTTTGGGGTTTTCTTACATAAAGACGCTCAGGGCCGCCGCCGCCGTCCGCGTCCAGCCGAACGGATGTGTGTAGTTAGCAGCGAGCTAATGCTAGCTAGGTTAACCAGCCTAGCCAAACAGATAATGTAACTGAGCCGTAGACATGAAACCATGTGAGTTTTAATTCATAAAGATGCTTGTGCTATTTAAATACATGTCGTGCTGGTGTTACATGTTACACGTTGTTGTTGTCGTGGTGCTGGTTAGCCTCGTATGTTCCTGTGTGTTCATGTAGCACAGCCTGTCGGCTCATTGACTTATTTTACTGTGAACACACTGTTTGTTTTGGAGCTGTGTTCCTCCTGCTGCGTTTCCCGAATCCATTCACAGCGTTGAATTGTCTCTCTGTGAGTCACACTCATCTGATCCAGAGACACTGGACATGGAGCTTGTCTGATAACAACACAGTGAACATGTTAATCCATCTGCTCTCGTGCCGATGTAGAGTGGATGTGCACAGGAGGACATCAGGTATCTAATGTTTACATGATCCAGGCACATATATGTAGATCAGACTCTTTTTACAGTGGTGTTACAATGGTATTAGATAATTCAGACAGGATGAAAACAGGATGAAAACAAACAAATGATGTGTGTTTTTACCTTATAAATGATTGAAAGAATTGATCAACAATCAGAAGAGTTGCTGAATTTTGTGTCGATTGACTAATTGAAAAATATTAGGTTTTTTTAACATCAAATCCAAAGTGAAACTGTTCCTTTTCCTTTCTTCTGGTTTGAACCACCTCTGAAATAGTCCCAGGAGCACATTGTAACTATACAGCTGATGGCTATGCACCCCCTCACAGTGAATGGGTTGAGATTTAATGTGGATTCTAAATTCCTGCGCTAAAATGAGCTGTTAACACTTTTTTGCCCTTTTGTCCTTTACCAGGTCTGAAATGCAGTTGTCTATTTTGTGAATCTCTGTTCAGTTTCTTCTCTAAGGACTCTCGGTTGTGGTTTTAAAACAATCAGCCCAAAAAGCTGTGATATTTATAGGAGTGGAAATTGAAATGTCAGGCTCTTTCACGTTTAGTCAGCATTGATCTTCCTTCTTTCTTCTGTGGTTGTTTTTGTTTCTCACATTTGACCGCACATTTGGCAAGTGTGTAAGTCAGTTTCCACAAAACATGTTGTAGCGCATCATTTTCCATTATTTGACGAAGATAAGTTTATCTGCATTTTAATGGGGTTTCCACCACATAGGCTATAGCAAGGTCTTTTTTCTACTGATAATCTGAGAAATTCAGAATAACATAATGACTGTAATGTCACATCATGTTTTTATCTCAGTCTCTTGTTTGTCTGATGACTCACACCAGGTAATTCTTCTTTAGCCTGTTTGTAAAGCTGTTGTTTGTATCATGAACACTGATGCTGTGTCCAAAATCTATACTTCACACTCACAGTCATAGTATACATGTTCAAATTGTCCAAATATTTTACGTTGCCCCTCCATCCTCATCAGCATACTCAAAAATCAACATTCATTGTTATTAGTTACAGTGTGTGCTTTGATTTGTTTTTTGTACTAGTATGGGTTTAGTACTCACAGCACAAACTGCCCTCTACTGCACGTGTACTGTAACATCCTGTACAGCTGCGAACAAAACACACAGTGCTTTGTAAATACATTTGGCTGACTGTTAATGTTTTGTCACAATAAATGTATATTATTATTGTTATTATTGTTAAAGCAATACAAAGACAAATCAACTACAGCGGGACAGGAAAAACAAATAGCTTTTCTTGAAGTGCTTTTAGATCAAAGTTCAGTCATAAAATAATGTTTTTCACACTGTGTAACTTCTCCTGCCCGTCTGTCTTCGCAGCTCTTTGGTGTAACTGCACCACTGCCCAGTGTGAGAGGACCGGCTACCAGTGTGAGACCGATGGAGCCTGTATGGCTTCCACCTCCTTCATTGGCGGCCAAGAGCAGCACATACGTATCTGCATCACTCGGGACAATCTGGTGCCCCCTGGACAGCCCTTCTACTGCCTCGGTGCAGAGGGCTTGCTCAACATCCACTGCTGCTACACTGACTACTGCAACAGCATCGACCTCAAAGTACCCTCAAGTGAGAACCGTGAAATGTCACACAGCGTAGACAGCAGATAAATCAATAACAAGGAGTATCATATATCTAACACATCACACACCAAAACGTGCGGCAAGCGTCACAAAGAAAAAGCACCGCTGACTAGTAGGAGTGAGGTCAAGAGAGAGAGAATAAGCAGATCTTTTAACAGTATTAGGATCCTGTTAATGTAATTGTAACACTTCTTGTTGCTGCTTTTTCATAGTAAAACCTTTCAGTGTTGAGAATTTAGTATTTCTTTGTGAAATAACTGGAAATAATCAATGTTCAGAGCATGAAGCAGTTCATGTCAGTGAAAGTAGTAAGTCCTCTGTGTGTACTGGATGATGTCAAAATCTGATATTCCCTTTACCCTTTCAGTGACCACTCCG